CAGCCCCAGTCTAGCACCACCCTCCTCTGTGCAGGAGATTGGGCGCATTTCCATCGAGATGAACGGGACGCTGGAGGACCAGCTGAGCCACCTGAAGCAGTATGAGCGCAGCATCGTGGACTACAAGCCCAACCTGGACCTGCTCGAGCAGCAGCACCAGCTCATCCAGGAGGCCCTCATCTTCGACAACAAGCACACCAACTATACTATGGAGGTGCGCCTGCTCGCCCTGCCAGCCCGAGCCAGGCTGCTGCCTTCTTCCAAGTAGTTTTTGTCCCGCAGAAAAGCCGGCTTCCACTTCCTTTCTCTCCTCTTTCACTCTGAGCGCAGAGACTGGATCCCACGTTCATACTTTTTGAAAAGTTAATTTCCTTACCAGTACTCTCCCATCACCATGATAACACACATCTCAGGACAAGCTCCCTGGAGAGCCGGGAGGGCAGGCAGCACCTGCCTCCTAGTATGGCCCCAGCCATTTGATCCTTTGGTCCTTGCTTGAGGGCGTGGTCCAGCCCTCAAGCCCACACACGTGGTCCAGCGTGTGCGGAAGTTCCAGCATCAGGGCTGGTTGCTGTCATACTGGCAGCTTGAAATGGTCCTGGGTGATAAGCCCTGAGACCATGCAAATCCGAGGGTGCCACCAAATAAAAGGAAGGGAAAGGAGTTTCCCCAGAAAGCTAGATGAGCGTTGCCTGGAACATCTCTGCAGAGTTCCCATGAGGATCCTGGCATGGGTGTCAGGCCCCGGTCCTCTGCTGCCTCGTGACTGACTGGGTCTTACACCAGTGTGGCGTGAACCAGGGCCCTGGTGGGCGGGCAGAGGCAGGCATGGGCCTGTGTCCCTGTGTGCACGTGAGCACACGGGAGTGCCTGCGCCTGGGCTGACACTGAAAGAGTTAGGGTGAGCCTGACTCCAGGCCACACATGGCCCCCTGAGCTGACCCCCCCGAGCTGCAGCTACTGTTGTCCCAGTACCCCCGCCCGCTGGCCCAGCCCGCACTCACGCCCTGGTTCCTCCCCAGCACATCCGGGTGGGCTGGGAGCAGCTGCTCACCACCATCGCCCGCACCATCAACGAGGTCGAGAACCAGATCCTCACCCGCGATGCCAAGGGCATCAGCCAGGAGCAGATGCAGGAGTTCCGGGCGTCCTTCAACCACTTCGACAAGGTGAGCGGCTCCCTTGGCCCCGTCTTCCCTCCCTCCCCGCTGTCACCTCCCACCCTGCCCCCTCCGTCTTCACATCTGTCTGTCTGTTCACATCATGGTCCCTGAGTATCAGAGGCCACTCACGCGCTGGCGGGGACCCAGCTTCCCTCAGGAGGAGAAAGGGGAATCCCTGGTTCTGTCCCTGGGACTGTGCCTCCTCACCCACCTGCCAGGGCAACCCTGAACGGACAAGTGTCAGCACCCCCGGGGATCCGAGACAAACAGACAGACACACACACACGGACAAGTGTCAGCACGCCCGGGAATCCAAGACACACACACACACACACACACACACACACACTGTTCTTAAAAGTCAGACATGGCCTGGTAGCCCCAGAGGAGCCCTGCACACCAGTTTGCCCCAGGCCATCCCTGCTGGGCCTGAGGTGTCTGCCTGCCTTCCGTGGGAAGGATGTGCTCCAGGGGTTAGCGGGGCCCTGCATCCCACACAGGAGAGGGGCAGTCCCCTCTCTCCCACCCCAGATCCTGGGGGCCAGGAGAGCTCCCCCGTTCCCTCCCAGGAGTCCTGGGACTTGACTCCTGCATCTCTCAGCCCCTGCCCCGCCCTGGCCCAGAGGAGGCAGGGTGAGGCCTCTGAGCACCCTCCAGGCCCCCACCCCGGCCATCACCTTGTCCACGTCACCTCTAACTCTGTGTTTCCCTTCCCCCCGTGTGTCCCCCTCCCCCTCCCTCTGCATGTGACCCCGGCCCCCGGCCCCGCCTCTGCCGGCCTGGTCTCCACACCACCCGCCCCTCGTGCACACCTGCCCCCGGATGCCGCCGGCAGGACCACGGCGGGGCGCTGGGGCCGGAGGAGTTCAAGGCCTGCCTCATCAGCCTGGGCTACGACGTGGAGAACGACCGGCAGGTACGCGCCCCCGGGGCCCCAGCGGACCGTGGCATTAACTGCTCTTCTCTCTCTCTCTCTCCTTCTCTCTGTCTCCCTTCCCTCGGCCATCCCACCCCTCGCCATCGTGTACCATCTCACCGGCTCTCTTGCCGCCTCTTCCCCGCCCTGTGTCTCTCCTGACACCGGCCCCCTTACCTGGTCTCTCGGGGCCGCCTCTGTCCGCCCCGCTCCCCGCCTCTGTCCTGTCTCCCCGCTGTGCACATGGGGCGGCCCCTCTTGCCTACTCTGGGCCCGGCCTCCTCTGCTGTCCCTGGGTCCTGGAGCAGAAGCAGACAGGCAGCATGGACTCCGATGACTTCAGGGCTCTGCTTATCTCCACAGGATACAGCCTGGTATGCCGCCTCTGCCTCCCCTGCTGCTCGGCCTTTCCCCTCCCTGCTCCCCCCCAACCCTCCTCACCGCCTCCAGAGTCTCCGTGTCCTCGGGGACCCTCCTCCACCAGAGCAGCGCAGCCTGGCCTCCCCCCCGCCTGCTCCTCCTCCTCCCCCCTCCTTCTCCTCCTCCGCTGCCTCTGCTGGGTGGGGTCCCTCCGACGACACCCCCACCCCCCACCCCAAGCCTCCCACCTCCTGCCCTGGAAGTCTCCGGAGAGAGGAGGCCAGGCCTCCCGCGCTCCCCGCTTCTCTTTCTCTCTCTTTCTCTCTTTTCTTCCTCGCCCTCCAGAGCTAACTTGTGAGCCAGGGCTGAGGAGCAGTAGACCTGTTTGATCCTCACCCCAACTCCTCACTTCCCAGTGGGGATTGTGGGAGGGGCGGAGCGGAGGGTGCATGGGGCAGTGGGCCCCGGGGGAGCCGGGACCCTCGGAGGCCTGCCGACGCCGCCGGTCCCGTGTGCTGGGGCTGGGCCCTGCTCTCCCGGCCCCACGTTCCAGCCACTGGGCCAGGCCCAGGCTGCCTGCGCTGCTCAAGGGCCACCTGTCCCCTGCCCACCCCCTTCGCAGGGCGATGCTGAGTTCAACCGCATCATGAGCGTGGTGGACCCCAACCACAGCGGCCTCGTGACCTTCCAAGCCTTCATCGACTTCATGTCGAGGGAGACCACCGACACAGACACGGCCGACCAGGTCATCGCCTCCTTCAAAGTCCTGGCCGGGGACAAGGTGAGCCAGACACCCAGCAGGCAGGCACCCAGGGGCTGGGTGGGCCAGCGTACATGCCGGGGGCGGGTGGGGGGTGACCCAGATTCCCACCCTGCTGCCCCCCAGAACTTCATCACAGCCGAGGAGCTGCGGAGAGAGCTGCCACCCGACCAGGCGGAGTACTGCATCGCCCGCATGGCGCCCTACCAGGGCCCCGACGCCGTGCCGGGCGCCCTCGACTACAAGTCCTTCTCCACAGCCCTGTACGGAGAGAGCGACCTGTGAGGCCCCGCTCGGAGAGCCCCTGGCCAAATGCCCCACTCCTCACGGCCTCCCGGAGGGGCTGGGGGAGCCCTTCCACCCCGCCTCCCCACCGCGAGGGCCCCAGGCGCTCCTCTGACTCTGTATCTATGCAAAGCACTCTGTCGGTCTTGCTGGGGGGCGGGTGGGCAGGGAGGGGCTGGGGCAGGCTCTCTTCCTCTCTCTCTGGTCGCCGGCCGCAAGGCTCTCCCTCCCCCTGGATGGGGGCGGGAGGCTTACGGGGTCAGCGCTTCTGGTCTGGTAAATATATATGATGTGTTGTTTCGTTTTGGGGTTTTTTTTTTTTTAACTTTGTGGAGGGAACAGTGGATCCTCAGCAAAACAGGCCCCCTCCAAGCCCTAGAAACGGCACCCCCACCCCACGCCCCACCCCTTCTCCCCCGAGGTCCCTTCAAGGCCTCCAACATCCAGGCCAAAGCCCGACGTGCCTTGTCCAGGAACCGCCGAGCCTGCGAAGGGCCCTGCAGGGGGTGCCCAGGCCGCCCGGCAGGAAAGAGGACCTGCCTGCTCCGTCTCGCCTCCCCTCCAACTTGGCGTCACCAGGACGTGAGGGGCTTCAGTCCCCCTCTCTTCTGTGATAGGAGGGGGGCCAGGCAGACCAGCCTCCAGCCCTCACCCCCAGCCAACCCCCCACTTTGCTTTGTCTGGACCTGTGTATCTCTTCAAATTTTCTAAGGACCACCCCCCTTTCCCCGAAACTCCCCCCCCCCCCCCCCACACACACAAATTCACAAAAAGGAAAAAACAAACAAAAAAAATCAACCTTTCAGAGAATTACTATTTACTTTATTAACTTACGGATTTATTATATAAATATATATTCACCTAGCAACATATCTTCGCCGCCTCTTGCTCTCATAATGAAGACATAGCTGATTGGCTCCCCTCCCCCAGCCCCTCACCGATTTCTCTGATGTCTGCCGTCGGGCATGGGTCTCTGGGGACCCTCCTGATGTGGAGGGTGGGCTGCTGGCCTAGCTGCCTGTTAGTGGATGGTTTTGCTCTCCCTTCCCTACCCACCCCCCCACCCTTATTTTTTTGAGTTTATTCTTGATTTTGTTTTTTCTCGGTTTCTGGATAAACCTCCCTTCTGGGGACAGGATAATAAAACATGTAATATTTTTAAGAAGGATTCCTACAGCGTCCTCTGTTTTTCTATCCCTGTTCTGCACTTCTTCGGAGAGTGATGATGGAGCACCCCTTCCCAGAGTGAAGTGGGGGCTTGGGCACGCCCCAGTCCCCATTCCCGTGAGTGTGTGAGCATAGGGGTGCCACTGGGGACCCACTCTGGGCCAGCCACTGTTCTCAGCATGTGACGTGGGCAAACTCTTGCAGCCTGCACAGGACAGGCGCGTGACCCTGCCCGAGGACAAAACAGAGGGGTGCGGGGACTTGCCCGGTGTCGCCTGAAATCAGCTCCGGGCAGGCTGGCTCCCAAGGCTGCGCTGGGAACCACGGCCCACTGTCAGAGCAGCTGCCCCTTCCCCGTGGTCCGGGCTGGGAGCAGGGAGAGGCAGGGCTCCTGAGCCAAGATCTAGGAGAAGGTGGCCACCTGCATCCACTGGCAAGAGGAGACAGCAGGAGTGAGGCCAGGGGCAGCAGGAGTGAGGCCGGGGGCTCCCGGTACGCCCCCTCCCATCACCCGTGCCCTGCATTCCAGGCTTACCTGTCTGTGGGTCAGGCAGATGACCCCCTCACCCCCATCCAGGTGCTGGCTGCAGTGGCCTGTAGAAAGAGAGGGGTGAGGTGAGGTGAGGGCCCACCTCCCTGGTCCCACGGCCCCGGAGACCATTTCCCTCTGCCCTGCCGGCGCCGGGGAGGGCACTCACGGAAGACGCAGATAAGCTGGGCCATGCAGGACACGAAGCGCTCAAAGTCCACACGCAGGCGGCTGTCACGGTAGCGGCTCGTGAGGGCCTGGGTCAGCTGGTTGTTCAGGTGGAAGCCTGGGGGAGGCCACCTCTGAGGCCCAGCTGCCCTCTGCCTGCCTCCGGGTCAAACCACTCCCTCTGACTACCCAGGAAATGCAGGTCTGGCCCCACCTCTCCAGTCCAGGCTCTGCCTCATCCCAGCTGTGAGGCCCCAGGGCAACTCCCTTCACTTCCTTATCTGTCAAATGGGAACTAGGTCAGCCCTGACCCCGTGAGCATGTGAAGGTGTTAGATGTCGAGAGCCTAGGACAGTATCTGCCAGCACATTATTAACTATGTCAGTTGTTACCCCTTCAAACTCTGAGAATTTCTGCTAATAGACACTGGAGAATACCTCCATGCAGCAAAGCATTTTTGCCAGTCCCGTATGGAGTCAATATCTTGACTCTCCACATCAGGTGCCATTTCTAGTTTAGAAATCATCTCTGGGGTTCTTCCCTGGTGGGCCAGTGGTTAAGGCTTCTGCTCTCCCACTGCATGGGGCATGGGTTCAATCTCTGGTCCCTGGTCAGGGAACTAGGATCCCGCATGCCATGAGGCATGGCCAAAAATAAAGCAAAGAAGGGGTAACCGCCTGGTTACCCCTCCCCAGGGCCCACACTGTCCCTAGGCACCTGGTGGCCCACACAGGCTATGCCTCATCTCCTGCTCCCCTCACACACCCACCCTCACTTGACCTAGGGCTTTGTCTTGCTGCCTTCTACACTTGATGTTCCCTCCGCCCAGAACACCACATCCTACTCTGGTACACACCTCCTCCAGAAAGTCCTCTCAGATACTCAGCCCCACCCCCACAAGCAGCATCAAGCTCCCCCTCTGGGCTCCCACAGCTCCCTGCGCCTCCGCATCCCTGCCCTGAGCATCCACCTTGCCAGGCTGTCACTGTCATTAGTGGCTCTGGGACCAAGCGGGAGAGGTCTGGGAAAGGCACCTGGTCACCACAGAATCCCCAGCATCACCCAGCACAGGGCCGGGAGCAGGGCGGGGTTCGGGGGTGTTCCTGGAGCAGTGGACAGGATAAACTCAGAGCAGGTTCTGCCAGGCCCCCCCAGCGCAGAGCTGCCAGGGTCTTGCGGCCGTGGCTTCCTGCTGGCCGCTCCCTGGCATTCCCTCCACTACACGCAGCCTTCCGCTTGCCTACCAGCTCCAGCCTCACACACACCCTGATCCTAGACTTGGCTCTCCCTCCTCCCGCTGGTAAGTACTAAAGAGCTGTCCTCCCAAGGCTCTCCTGTCTTGCCCCACCAATCTCTGTGACCACCTCTCCCTCCCCACTGGGATCCAGCCATACCATCCCCCCAATCCCCTCCTCAGTCCTCCTCTCCATCACTGAGCCCCGTCGTTCACTCCTCTCCCTTCACACCGGCCTCCGTAGCGCCTTTTCACTGCCTTTCCCTCTGTCTGGACGGCTCTTCCCCAGTGTCCCCGAGGCTCACTCCCTGTCCTTCAGATCTCTGTTCAACCATCACTTCAGTGAGGCCTTCCCTGTCCGCCCTGTCGCAACCCGCACCCTGCTCACTGCTTGTCCCAGCACCCTGGCCTGCTTCCTTTTCCCACCACAGAACTCCTCACCAGCGGACACTGCTTGTTGGTGTATCCGCACCAGCAGAATGTCATCCCTGCGAGAGCACTTTTCTCTGCCTAGACTGACACCAACCCCCTACCGAGGGATACTGAGTGAATAGCACAACCTTCCATCTTCCCCTTCTGTCTACCTGGGACTCTTTCTCAGGCTCACGTCTCCCCATCTTCTCTGACCCCGTCTCCCCCACTGTCTTCTTGTTGATCAGTCACTCAATTGTGTCTGACTCTTTGCAACCCCATTGACTGCAGCACGCCAGGCTTTCCTGTCCTTCACCATCTTCCAGAGCTTGCTCAAACTCATGTCCATCGAGTCGGTGATGCCATCCAACCATCTCATCCTCTGTTGTCCCCTTCTCCTCTTGCCTTCAATCTTTTCCAGCACAGGGTCTTTTCTAATGAGTTGGCTCTTGAGTTCCTTTCTTGTCTTGTATTTCCCTGGACCTTTGACCTCGCCCTTCTGCTTCTCAGACTCTGGGTCACATCCCCCCAGCCTCCCATCCCTCCACGTTGCATCCTTCCTTTTGCTATGGCCAATGAGCCTGGGGAAGGGGTGTGGGGTCTGGCAGTTCGGTGTCTGATCCCACCTCTCCTTCCGTGCAAGGCGGGGTGGGGGGCAAATCACCCTCGCACACCTTTTCTAATTGTGTGGCCCTGGAAAAGCGTGGGTCTCTGGCTCCGTGCTGTGGCTAGGGTTTCGTGCTCCCACACAAATAGAATGGGGTTGTTCTATGTCTCCTGCAAGAACTCAGGAAGGCTCCATTGTGAGCCTTCGTTTAGGTGACCTGGTTTGCACGAATGGAAGCTAAGTTCCCAGCAAAAAGCCCTGTGGGCACCACTCCACAGGCTCCTTCCGGCCACGCTCTATATGAGCCATTTTACAGAGAGAAAAACAGAGGCTCCCGGAGGTGGACTCAAGAGCCCAGGGCCACCCAGGGAGTCCAGGACATCCTACTCTGAGGCCTTGTGGGCCAGGGCCTCTCAGACACCAGTTCCCTAGGCAACCCCCTTCCCCTCCGGGGAGGGCCCACTCCCACAGTGCCCTCCTCCCCCCACACAGAGGAGTCTCCCCCTCGAGCCTCTTTTAGGGTCACCCAGTTCCTGCACAAACTAAGGTGTGGGCTTTGTGGGTGCAGGGGAGGGGTGTGGCGGAGGTTGGGGGAGCAGATCCATCCCCAGGAGCCCCCAGGACCTCTGTCCATACCCGCCGCATTCAGCGCCAGTCTCAGCTCATAGGAGTTCATGGTTCCAGAGGCGTCCTCGTCGAACTTATCGAATGTGGCCTGGGCAGGGAGGTCAGGGTCAGTCCCGCCCCCAGGTCCTGGAGCATCCTCAAGAAGGCTGAAAGGGGGCCTGGGTTCCCACCCACCTCCCTTTCTTCCTGGCTTTTCCATGCCAGCAGCTGAACCACTTTGGGCCTCTGTTGCCCACTCCGTAAAGTGGGAATAATAGTACCAGCGGTAATAGGGGGGTTGTGGGGACAGGGTGAGATTCTACCCACAAAGGGCTCAGTGAACAGTGGCTTGTCACTTGTAGTGTGGACAGGCCTGGGACTGTTTCCTCCTCACAGAGGTCCAGAGCAGAGGAAATGACGGCCTCCCAGCCATAGACCAACAAAGGCCCCCTCAGGTCACACAGCCAGCAAGGGGCTGAGCTGGGAGCTGGGGTTCCAACCCAGGATCAGAGTTTGCTCTTGATCCTTGAGCTATTTTAGTGCCCCCTAAAGGGACAAAGTGGCCCTAGGGGTAAAGAACCTGCCTGCCAATGTAGGAGACATAAGAGAGGCGGATTTGATCCCTAAATCTGGAAGATCCCCTGGAGGAGGGCATGGCAACCCACTCCAGTATTCTTGCCTGGAGAATCCCATGGACAGAGGAGCCTGGCGGGCTATTGTCCACAGGGTCGCAAAGACTCAGACACGACTGAAGCGACTTAGTACACACACGCAAAGTGGCAACAGAGAGGTGGGGGGGGCAGGGCAGGGACATTCCAGCCAGATGCCTCAAGGTTGGGGTAGTGCCGGCCAGTTCCCCCTTCTCCCCCGGGATCCCGCTCGCCCACAGGGCACCTAGGCCTATTAGTAAAGGTTCCTGTCCCTCCAGGAGGAGGTGCCCCGCCCAGTGCCCCACCTTACCTGCCACTCCAAGAGGTGGCCCCAGAGCTGCTGGAAGTGGTACAAGTCCAGGCTTCCCCCATGCTGGGGAGGGAGCATCTGGTTAAGGTCAATGTCTCCAGAAGGGGAGCCGAGGCCATTCCCCCTCCCCGGGCACTGCCCCCATCATATACCCCAAAACACTGCAGCAGCTGCTCACAGGTCCTGAGCCCGATTTCTCTGGGGGTCTGGGCATGGGCCCTGGCTACAGGGAAAACAAAAAGATAGCAGCACTTCCCACATCCTGGCCATCACAGTAAGTACTCGGGATTATTGTTATCCCTGAAAGTCCTGCGACTGATGGAAACTAGCAGAGCTGGGATTTGAACCCAGGCAAGGCGGTCTGGGTCAGTGCTTAGGGCAGCGACACTCCCTGCTTCTCCCATAGAGGAACGGAGGCTTGTGAGTGGCCATGGCCTTGGCCATGGGTCCCATCACAGGATCCACAGTTCCAGCCACAGGGGAGATGCTGGCAGGCTGAGGCCAGGGTTACCGCAGCTTTCTCCCAGCAGCATCATGGATAGACACACATGGGGGTTCTGGGGGTTCACTCTTGGTCCCCAACTCACCAGGTTCCAGGGCGATGCTTAACAAGACCTGGAGCTGAGGGGCGCCAAGTTCTTCCTCCTGGCGAGGACAGAGCTGGTTGTGAGGATGCACTCAGGCAGTCATTCAACAAACAGCCCGGGGAGGGGGGCCCAGACAGCATGCTGGGAGGTGCTGGGACATGGCAGAGCCTGAGAGAGCCCCGGGCCTATCAGAGCTCCTGGTCCATGGAGGGAGGGAGACGTGTCCACAGAGAGATCAGGGTTGCAGTGGGGAAGCCCTGGGCTGCTGGAACTCGCAGAGGCCAAGTGGCTGACCAGTTTGGGGAAAGAAAAGGCCTCGGCCTGGCAGGGGTCGTGAAGGGAGAGAAAGCAGTCCAGCAGGAGGGTACAGACTGAGCAAAGACCCTGTGGCAGGGAAGAGCTATGAGTGTTTTGGCAAAAGAAGTTCATGATATTTAAGCACAGAGAGACTGAGAAACTAAAGCAAAATGAGATGTTTATCACGAGGGAGGGGAGAGGAGGGAACCCACTTAGCCCTGCCCCACCTCCTCACCTCTCCTGCCAGCTCCTGAAAAAGCTGCTGCAACTCCAGCTCCAGGGGAATGTAGGGGACCTGTGGGGTTGGGAGTAGTTTAGTTCTGGCCAAGAAGTTTCAGGTGACCCACCCCCCCCACCTTCCCCCCTCTCGTCCAGCCCACGTACACACACCATAGCGCCCCTTCCCAGAGCCGCGCCTCACCATAAGGGCGTGCAGGTCGGCGCTGATCACGTCATCTACCTCCCTGCAAATTACAGGCGGGAGATGGGGAAGGGGGCTGCTCACCCCGCGGCTGAGGCTATGGAGCACTCGGGGTCTCAGCTGAGACTCAGGTGGGGTTTAGGTGGGATCCTGGGGGCCAGGTCTGACGCAGGAGGGGCTGGGGATCCCGGGGGCGGGGCTGGAGGGCTGCTCACCCCGCGGCTGAGGCTATGGAGCACTCGGGGTCTCAGCTGAGACTCAGGTGGGGTTTAGGTGGGATCCTGGGGGCCAGGTCTGACCGGGGGCGGGGCTGGGATCCCGGGGGCGGGGCTGGGTGTCCAGCTCACATGGCAGTGTGGCGGCGCTCAGAGAACACGCGCAGCGTGAAGTCGGCCTCATCGCCCGCACGGGCGGCGCTGGGCACCACCAGGTAGTGGCCCGGGCGCAAGCGGCAGCGGCGGCTCACGTCGCGGCGGGCGCAGAATGGCGAGCGGTCGGCGCGTAGCAGGCCGGACAAGTGCGCGCGACTCCGCGGGGAGTCCCACAGGCCCAGTAGCTGGGGGGACAGGGCGGCGTGACCACCGTCCAAGTTCACCCCATCCGACCTCCGACCCACTGCACCTTCCACACCGCCCTGGACAAACCCACTGGTCACCGATCTCCCCAAGGGCGCCTCAGGCCCCCAGGTTGTAGGAGCCGCTGGGGCTGGTTCAGGGATGGATGGAATCTGGGGTCTTTTCTGACACCCACCTCCTCTGGGATCTGCAAGAAGGAAGAGTCACGGGAGTCAGGGCCCTGGGAGGCAGCCACCAGGCAGAGCCCTTCCCTGCTCCCTCCACATCCCTGCCTCTCTTTTCTTCCCACCCCACCCTCCTAAAGGCCCTGCCCCTTAGTCCCTGACCTAGCCCCTCCTGGCCACCATCTCCCATCTGTGCCCTCAAGTGCCTTCTCTGCTCCTGGGTCCACTCCCAAATCCTCAGCCTTGCCTCCAGCCCTGTCTCTGACTCCTTTCTGACCCCTCTTCCCTCTGCCCTCTGACCCCCAGTCTCTTTCTGCACCCTCCCTAGCCCTTCAGTCTCTCCTTGAATCTCTGGTGTCCACAGCTGTCTCCTGACCCTGACCTTTGGCCCCATCCACTATCCCCTCGACCTCCCCAGCCGCTCTCCGCCCCTCAGATCCCACCTTGGCCTCCTGTACCTCCATGCCTCTGTGTCTTCCCCTCGCCCCCCCACTGCCTCTGCTCAGCCCAGGGTCCCACCTGGAACACGTGGAAGCCCACGGTCAGGTATTTGAGGCCCTGGGCCCTCAGGCGCCGCTGGTTGCGCTGGATGAGTGACAGGAGAACAGTGCATTTGGGGGTGCGAGCACCCCGTGCTGGGCCCCGTGCCCCTCCTGCCCCCCAGCACCGAAAGGACCCATCCTCTTCCTCATCCTCTTCATCAGGCTCCAGCAGCGTCAGCCGGAACTGGGGGTTAGTCCAGAAGGTTTCTAGGTAAGGACAAAGAGACAGGATTACCCAGCCTGCCACAGCCCCACCCCCGCTTGCCTCTGGGACCCCCTTCAGGCCTCACCGGCACCAGGCTGGCTCCCACCAGAGTTGAAGCCGCGCACCCAGCGGCCTTGGAAAGTGTGGATGTGCCAGCCGCCTCCAGCCGGACTCGGGCCCAGCACCTCGGGGCTCAGCGAGCAGATCTGGACGGTGTCGAAGTGGCGGAAGAAGTCTAGCAGCTCCATCCTGGACGGTGGCTGGTGGTCAGACCCTGCCCGGGCCCTCACATCCCCAGGGCCCTAGTCTCCCAAATTATCCTGTGACCCCCTCAATCACAAAGCCCCCTGAACTCCTTAAATGTTGCCAGTTACACATCAGTCCCCCAAGTTAGACCCCTCCAGCTCCCCTAGTGCATGCTGTGCTAAGTCACTTCAGTGGTGTCTGACTCTTTGCGATCCTGTGGACTGCAGCCTGCCAGGCTCCTTTGTTCATGGGATTCTCCAGCAAGAATACAGGAGTGGGTTGCCATGCCCTCCACCAGCGGATCTTCCCAACCCAGGGATTGAACCCAGGTCTCTTATGTCTCCTGCATTGGTGGGTGGGTTTACCACTAGTGCCACGAGCTCCCCTAGATTTCTCCCCAGATACTGAGACTCTCAGACTCTCTATTACCAGCAAGTATCCTTCAGCCCCTCAGATTTGCCAAATTTCAAGAAATGCCCCCAATGTCACCAACTCTCCCTCAGTTGTGCTAAATATCACCCATCCCTCTTCAACCTGTTGAAGATCACTATGCTTCTCAATTCCCCTAATATTACTGCTAATTCTTCAGCTCCCCAAAATAGAACCCAGCTTCCCAAATTACCACGGATATGGTCAGTTTCTCTGCCACTTAGGACTTATCCCCATGAACTTCTCCCATGTTACTTCAAGCGGGACTTGCCCCCTCCCTGATCCCAGTAGCCTGGTACCCCTCGCCCAGGCAGACGTGGGACCCTGCCCCACTCACCAGAACTCGCCATCCTCCTTTTTCACCAACAAGGCATCTCGCCACTCTGTAGGGAGCGCATCCCAGCGTGGGCAGCTGGAGAGACTGAGGTGTAAGGGGTGGGCGGGGGGGAGCCAAACCACCCACCCACCCCAGATCCATCCCACCTGTCGCTCCAGGCCCCATTCCACTCCACTCGGCCCCATGGGTTCCGCAGCCGCAGCAGCCGCACCTTGGTGAAGCCCAGTGACACCTAAGGGAGGCATGGTCAGTGGGGAGTTTGGTGCCCGGACACCCCTTGACAGCCCACCCTGGGGATTCCTCACCTTGTGTGTGCCCGTGACTGAATATGCATGTCCCTTCACCAGCCCATCTTCTGTCCGGTACTCACCCCGATCACTCTGGGCAGAGGACAGGGGACAGTGAGCCACAGTAGGGGACAGGAAGGTGGCTGCTCCTCTCTGCACTGCCACCTCCTGTCACCAAGGCGGGAGTCACCTAGAGCACCTAACTGAATGGCCCTGGGCTCCAAGAGGGTCTGGGAGTTGGGGAGGGAAGGCAAGAGATGGGAGAGAGAGAGGCGGATAGAAATAAGAGACCAAAACAGATGAGAGAGACAGAGAAATGGCAACAAAGAAAGATACGGAACAAAAGGAAAGAAAGATACAGAACAGAGAGGAAAAGAGGCAGAGAAATGCACAAGACAATCAATTACTGAGTAGAGGATTAAGTAAATGAATGAATGAATGAGTTAGACTGACTCAGTGTTTGAGTATGTGATTAGGTCACAAATGGACATGTGACCCAAACTGAGCCCATGAAAAGCGATCACTGAATTTTCACGGAACTTCTCAGAAAGAGACACGTGTTTTCACCCTCCTCCCACCTGAGTATGGGCTTCCTAGTTGGTGCAGTAGTAAAGAATCTGTCTGCCAATGCAGGAGACCCCAGAGACTCGGGTTAGACCCCTTAGTCATCCCCTGGAGTAGGAATTGGTAACCTGATCCAGTATTCTTGCCTGGAAAATTCCATGCACAGAGCTTGGCAGGCTACCGTCCGTAGGTGTCGCAAAGATTCAGATATGACTGGGCAACTGAGAACATACCACCTGAATGGTAGGAGGAACCTGCCACTGTGGGGGTCACTTTTGTGCCTGAGAGAGAAAAGTTTGCAAGTGAATCTAACCCAGAAGCAGGAATTTAAAAAAAAGAAAGAAAGACATATTCACGACATCCACTAAGCACCTAGATCCAGCTGTGCCTGAAGCTTAACTTGTTCTGAGAGCAAATAGATGTCCTTTTGACTGGCTCGCGTTAGATTTGTGAGAGAGAATAAGCCAACAGTGAAAGCAGGGAGGAGGAGGACACGGGACACTGCCTCCTTTAGTCATTACTGTGCTCAGATCCTGGTTGGGGGGGTGTCTTCATGGGAGTCTGACTCTCTCACCAGGGCAGTGGCCCCCACGAGGGACTCCTTGGCCAGGGCATGGCGCAGGATGGAGAAGACGCCCGGAGGGTTTGGAGTGTCCTTCTTCAGGTAAAGCACCTCACCTACGCCCCCTGTGAAGTCCACAAAAGCCTCATTCATGTGGCCGCCTCGCATCACCTCATAGGAGCCGTGAAGCCTGTGGGAGCAGTCTAGGGTCAGGCATCTGAGGCATGATTATCTCGGGCAATCCCTGGGATGTGCGGGGTGGGGTGGGGCTTCTGGCTCAGGCTGTGAGGTTCTAGTCTGAGGTCCCAGGGGCTGTCCCCAAAATTGGCAGACTCTTGAAAAAGGCATATCCTAGAAGCCCTGGAAAGTCAGACCGGTGGCTCCTGGGGCCACCAGGACTGCGTGATTTGGGGCTCATAGGAGAGTTCTGTCAGAATTCTGGACTTTCTGGGGGCTGTGTCTGACATTTTGCATCTGTGGGAGATGTCTGCTTTGGGAGTGATCCCTGTGGGCCTTGTCAGGGATTTCAGAGCTGCAGAATGCAGAAAAGCAAAGACCTGAGGGTCCCAGGGATTACACCTGATATATTGGAGGTATCTTGGATTTCTCGATGGATCAGGAGAGACTGAGATTACAGGTTCTCCAGGGTGACACCGGGGCCTGACATGATATTTCAGGCTCCTTCGGAATTATGAGTGTTTAGTGGGTATCTAGGAATATTTTGTGTGAAATATGGATGGAGGGATGTGTTCATGATTTGGAAGTCATTAGGTGATGGTGTAACATGAGGGCCCTTGGTTTGAGATCTTTCGCAAGGAATCTTAAGGGATCCCAGAAGTCGGGGGCTCCAGGGCTCCAGGGCTGAGGGCTGCTGGCTAGGACTTGGGGTTGCTGCTGGGGGCATCAGGATCCTTACTTAGCATAGGCCTTTTCCAGGAGTGGAGCCCAGAACTCGTTCCGCTGATCGGAGCGCACGAACATCAGCTTCCCCTCACACACAGGCAGCCTGTCGTCCACCACGACGTCCACCCAGCGGCCAAACTGCCAGAGCTGATGGAAGGGACGGGCAGGGCCGGGGCTCAGCTTCCCTCCTCCAACCCTGCTGAGCCCCAGCCCCCGCCCCCCTGACCCTGCTGCACCAGTCTGGGAATTCCAGCTCCAAGGGGACAGCGTGAGCTATGAAATCCACGTCACCCTGAGGGAAAATGAGGCATGAACAGAGGAACCGAGCTTTACCTGGAAGTGGAAGACACCTGCGTAGCCATGTTGGAAGCCCTGTCCCGGGGGTACTACTCGGGACAGGAGTCGGGGGTACAGAGTGAGGGAGGCAGCGGCCGCAAGAAACCAGCAGTTACCTGGGAGGAAAGGCTGGGATTAAGGGAGGGTGGAAAGAAGGCATGAGGAGGAGAGGCTGAGAGGGNCCCAGTTCCCAACCCCCTCCTTCCTCAGACCAGGAGCCCAGCTCCCAACCTCCTTCCTCAGACCAGGAGCCCAGCCCATAACCTCCTCCTCCTCCCTCAGGGATCAGGAGCCCATTCCAAAACCTCCTTCCTGAGACCAGGAGCTCAGCCCCCAACCTCCTCCCTCAGACCAGGAGCCCAGCTCATAACCTCCTTCCTCAGACCAGGAACCCAGCTCACAATCTCCTCCCTCAGACCAGGTACCCAGCTCCCAAACCCCTCCTTCCTCAGACCAGAGGCCCAGCTCCCAACCTCTTCCCTCAGACCAGGAGCCCAGCTCCAACCTCCTCCCTCAGACCAGAGGCCCAGCTTCCAACCTCCTCCCTCAGACCAGAGGCCCAGCTCCCAACCTCCTCCTCCCTCAGACACAGGAGCCCAAACCCCATCCACACATTACATGGGGCCTCTTCCATTCCACCCCTTTGGCCTTCTCCGAGTGGGGCCCCAGCTGGTCGTAGCCAAGGGCATCAGGGCCAGCAGGGAAGTAGGGATCTCGGAACAGGATCCCCTCATCCAGGCAGGCTGCTCGGATTGCTTTGTAGTTCTGGCCCCGAAAGAGCTTTGGGCCCTTGGTTTCGGGCCCTGTCTCCTCGTTAACCAACTGGATGGTGACTCTCCTGCTGCCACACGCCATCCGGACACTGTGGGCTCACGGGCTGGCGGCGGGCCTTTTAACCTCCTGAGTCACAGGGGCGGGGCCTCCCCTCTATCTGAACCCAGATGGGGGTCTTTAAGCAGTGAGGAACCTTTCCTCATTAATACTAATTGAGGGTTTGGGGTTCCAGAGAGCAAGGACGCCTCTTCAGTGGTTTCCTCCTCAAGGCGTGGGCCCTTCAGTTGTGGCCAGGGTAGCAGCTTAATGGGCTTGGCCAGCAGTTGGTTTGGAAGGTGGGCAGAGCGGAGGGAGGACCAGATGCCATTGTGGGAGTGCCTAGAAGGAGGTCAGTGTAGAGGGTGCGTCTCTGCCAGCTTGTCCCTGCATACCTCCCTGTGTGGGATGGAGGAAGGCAGGTTTGGGGAGGGAGACATCTTTACCTCTGTGTCTCTGTCTCTCCATCTGACAATTTCTCTCTCTACCTGCCATCGTATCTCTTTCTTCTATTTTGGCCTCCAAGTCATCTCTCTTGGCTCACTTTGTCTTTTCTCCATTTTTTGTTTATCTGTATCTATGTCTCTAGATCTCCTGCTTCCTCCATCTCTCTCTCTTTACACCTCTTCCTGATTCCCCTTCTCTCTCTGTATCTGTCCATCTTGTGCATGCCCCATTGTCCATCCCTCGCCACTTTTCTCCCTGTCCTATTACTCCCCAGTCACCTAAAGGGGCTTTGAGCCCTCAGGACTCTTGTCTCTCCCCTCCTCTACAAGGCAGACCTCAACTTGGTTGCCCCAGGTTGACCATGGAGGGGCTGCCCTGCACCTACCTGTCCTAAACTGGGAGCCAGGCCCACCAGTGGCCATGACACCCCATCCTGCCCACCTGTGGCTCAGGGCTCAGTGAAGCGGTATTTCCCCCAAAGGATGATGGAGCTTGGTGGAACGGCTGGAAGAAGGACTTTGGTTCTTGTCTTCTTTGAATAAAGAATTCAGTGAAGAGACAAAGAACAATGAAAAAGATAAAAGTGTTTATTAGGAGCAAAGCACCTGTAGCAAAGCAACAGGGATTGTGCACAATAGGGGCGGATCAGGTTGCTTGAATAGTGACAATTTTTAGGGTTGTTTTTTTTTCTCTCGCCGGTTATCTCCATATATGATCCTAGTATGGGCACACATCTCTCAACCAAGATGGATTCCAGCTGGTGTCTTCTCCCTCCTTTTGTCCTTCCCCTAGACCGAGGGCCTTCTTTCTCTCTGCATGCATTGAGCTGGGAAACCCACAAGAATGCACTGAATCAGGGCCCAGTGCTCCTGCTGGTATCCTATCTTGGAGGATCAGCAGGAGACCAGCTGCAGCTGCTCATCCTGGGGCCTGATCTTCTGTCTCAAATCCCTCCCGAGAGACGTGGACACCCCCAAAATCTTACTGGGAGGATGACGGGCAATGGTCCATCTTCTGTAGCTTCTTCAGGCTGCCATTGGGTTTATACACCCTACCTAATTGGGGCCATGGAACACTCTCGTCAAGGGGCCCCAGGGCAGCTTCTGCTGTTATTCCAGCAGGATTGGTTTCAGAGAGTCACTGGAATTCCTCTATCACCATCATCTTGAATTGCTGTAACCTGGAAAAAGCAAACTTAACAAGCAGATTAAAAAGACAAGTGTCGAAGGTCAGTCTGTGAACAGGCCCCTGCTCTACCCCTCAGATAAGGGGCTGTCTGAGGCCCCTCTTAACCCTAACATGGTGCAGAGGGAATCCAGAAGGTCTCTCCCCCGGAGTGGTGTAGGATGCTCAGGAAGAGCTAGAAAGCCATGTGAGATCAAACGCTGTTCTAATTGGCAAGTGAGAAGCACAGTGAATTTATGAGTTCAAGGTTTCCCACTGACACCAGTTACTGTGCAAATTTAGAGGAAAGACACCCATTTTGAGAAATCAGGACAGAATAAATGGCTCCTGTGTTGATTAAAAAAATTGATCTTCTGGACTTCTCTGCTGGTCCAGTGGTTAAGAATCTGCCTGCCAAAAAAAAAAAAAAAAAGAATCTGCCTGCCAATGCTTGGGACACAGGTTCGATCCCTGGTCTGGGAAGGTTCCATATGCCAGGGGGTAGCTAAGCCCATGGATCACAACTACTGAAGCATGGGCACCCTAGAGCCCGTGCTCTGCAACAAGAGAAGCCACTGCAATGAGAAGCCCTCATACCACAACTAGAGAAAGCCCATGTGCAGCAACAAAGACCCAGCACAGCCAAAAATAAACAAAAAACCCAAAGTCCTTTAGAACAATTTTTAAAACTAATCTTATCTGCTTTGTTAAGGACCACCCAGGGGGAATTCCCTGGTGATCCATTGTTTAAGACTTTCCACTTCCAATGCAGGGGACTCAGGTTCCATCCCTGTTCAGGGAAATAATTTCCTGTATTCTATGCAAAAAAAAAAAAAAAAAAACAGGACCACACAGGATTCCTCGATGGAGACAGACATCTCCTTGGGGGAAGAGGGGAGCCACTGGAATCCCTGGGGGCACCTCAGCTGTCCAGCATGGCCATCTCAGGAGCAGAAGCAACCCCTTTCCCATTTGGAACTGAGGTCACTCCCTTCTTCAGAGCCTGGTCTCTTTGCAGGCTGAGCATGGCCCAGGGGCTCCTGGCATCCACAGGCCTGGTGGTGAGTTGACTCACATTTGAAGCATTTCCCCTTGTTGGTTTTACCTCCAGATGGATGGGTGAATCTTCCTGAACCCTTTGGGGGATGGCTGACAGCAACTGCTATCAGTTGAGCTTGAACCCTGGCCTGTCTTTTCTCAAACTGAGCTCTTTCCTCCTCTGATCTTGATCATTAAGTACTCCAAGGCCATGAAGAAGGCTGAGCACCGAAGAATTGATGCTTTCAAATTGTGGTGCTGGAGAAGACTCTTGAAAGTCCCTTGGACTGCAAGGAGATCAAACCAGTCAACCCTAAGGGATATTTTCCCTGATCCGGGGTGATAGGAAGCCCCACTCTAGGTTACCCCAGCAGGACTAGTCTTCTCATCCTGGGGTGATAATAAGACTTAACCTCTGAGTGTTGAGAAACAAACAAGTTGATGTGTGGGACATGTTCAGAACAGTGCCTGACACATAGTTGATGACCAATGAAACTTCGACGTCATGACTACATCCTGCAATCCCAACCATGGTCACCTATCACCACTGGCTCTGGAGGTAATCTCTGCCATTTTTGTGGTCACTTCCACTGTCCCTCTGTCTGTTCTCTATGTTCTCATCCTCGAGGTCTCAGCGCTCTCCCCTTTATTTGCCCCAAAGTATCACTAACAGTTACTGCTGTAGTTGCTCAGTTGTGTCCAACGCTTTTTGACCCCATGGTCTGCAGCACACCAGGCTTTCCTGTCTATCACCATCTCCAGGAGCTTGCTCAAACTCATATCCATTGAGTCTGTGATGCCATCCAACCATCTCATCTTCTGTCGTCCCCTTTTCCTCCTGCCCTTAAGCTTTTCCAGCATCAGAGTCTTTTCCAATGAGTCAGCTCTTTCCAGCCAAAGTACTGGAGCTTCAGCTTTAGCGTCTGTCCTAGGGGAAAGCTTTTAGTAAAACTTGACTGCCATCTTGTTAACTGTTAGATGCCCTGCGCTCCTTCCCGCTCCTTCCCTGGCCCCTCCTGAAAGGCCCCTCCAGGCTGCTGCTCTTCTTAGCTCCCCGCTGGCTGCCATGCTGCAGATGCCATTCCACCCCCAAGAGTTCTTGTGATCACCACTCCCCAAACCTCTCCTGGAACCCAGAGTCAAATATGCTTCCCCAGCCAAGCAAAGAAAAACGGACTGATGTTACTGTAGTGGCTGTTTGTGAACCCAGCACTCCTTACCTCTTTCTGGAATCAGTCACCCCATTATGTCTGGGGGACCCACGGGTCCCCTATTCTCAAGCCTCATGGCTCTGGTTGGGTTGGCCCCTCCCACCTACGCCAGGGAAGTGCATGTGACTCAAGCCAGCCAATCAGAGCGCCTTGCCCTCCCCCGCCCCCTCCCCACCCGCCTACGCTCCTCGTTTCAGGGCCTGGAAGTGAGGACAGCGCTTCTCTTTCCCTGAGGCCGGTAAGCTGGGGGTATGAAAGCCCTGAGCGGCTCAGCTCTAGCTTGGCCGTGCTGTCAGGAGACCCTGCCTGAGAATGAGGACGCTGCTGAGAGAAGCAGAGCCAGAAATAAGAGTCCCTGGGAAAAGAAAAAAAAAAGAGTCCTTGGAGTATAGAACCCCTCCATCTGGGTGTGCTCAAAACCAGATTTTTACATTCACAGAGTCGATAATTCTCTTTCCCATTTTTATTTTATTTATTTTTTGTCAACCAAATAAAACTTTCCTAATTCAGTTGGCATGATTTCTGTAGCGGTGCACCAGCCCCAGTGTAGATTAACTGATTTCCCTATGGAGTAAGGAATCTGACACAGACATGGAGTCAGGGGTCCGGTGCCAATTACCCAATTACTCCTGCTTCCTGACCTAACCAGCAAAGTAGAGTGTTGTCCTGTCTCACCAAGTTAGGGATTCACTCGAGCCAAATCGAAAAAAATGAAAAGGTTTTGCCTCTAATGATATCATGAAAATGAAGACATCCCACAAATAGCAGATATTTGTTATAAATATGATAACAAGTGCTTACTATTTGCTGAGCACTTGCTGTGACTGTGTACACCAGGCACTATCCTAAGCTCTTCATAAATATGATCTCATTTAATCCTCACACCAACCTTCAGAGATATCTCCATCACCTCTGGCAGCTATAGCAAACACCACAGACTACGGGCTCACACAACAGATGATTATTTCTCAGTTCTGGGGCCTGAGCATCCCAGATCAGAGTGTCAGTGTGGTCAAGTTCCGCTGAGGGCTCTCTGCCAGGCTTGCACATGGCCACCTTCTTGATGTATCTTCCCAGACAGAAGAGAGCTCTGGGGTCTCTTCCTCTTCTTCTTCTTCTTTTTTAAATTTTAATTAAAATTTTTTTCTTTTTTTTTTTGGAAGATTTACAGTCTTTCATTATGCTTAGTTCTATGCCCCCCCACCTTTTTTCCTCTGGCTGTTGCTGCGTGACTTGTGGGATTTTACCTCCCTCACCAGGGATTGAACCTGGGCCTCGGCTGTGAGAGTGCTGAGTCCTCACCACTGGACCACCAGGGAATTCCCAAAGATTTCTTAAATAGGACACAAAGACACACACCATAACAGAAAAAAAAACAAAAAACCTGATATTGCAGAACTCATCAATTAAATACTTCTGCTCTGAAAAAGGCATGAACAATGAAAACACTTTAGGTTTTTGTTTTTAGTCTGTTTACACAGAGGAGAATACATGTTACATATTCACAATACATATATTTGGCAAAGGACTATATCCAGAAAGTATAAAAAACTCATATATTAGTAATAAGAAAGCAAACAATCCGATTTAAATTGGCAAAAGATTTGAATAAACAAATCTCTGAATATACAAATGGCCACCAAGCACGTGAAAGGATGCTCAACATGAGTAGTTACAGGAAAATGCAAAGATGCAAATTAAAACCACAATGAGACACAAATATAGATCCACTTGAATGGCTACAATTAAACAAACCAACAAACCCGGCCATACTACATGCTGATGAGGATGTGAAGTACCAGAGCTTTCGTTCATGGCAGGTAGGCGTGTAGCATGGTTCAAGTATTGGAAAACAATGTGACAGTTTCTTAGAAGTCAAGCATACACTCATCATTTGATCCAGCAACTCAACTCCTAGGTATTTAAACAAAACATATGGACAGGTACTTCCCTGGTGGTCCAGTGATTAAGACTTTGCCTTCCAATGCAGGGTATCCGAGTTGGATCCTTGGTCAAGGACCTAAAATCCCTCATGCCTCGTGGACAAAAAAACAAAACAAAAAACCTAAATATAGATATAATATTGTAACAAATTGAATAAAGATTTTAAAATCTGTGCACATTAAAAAAAATCTTTAAAAAAAAACATGTCCACACAAAGATTTGTCCATACCACTCTAGTTCATCATCACTAACACTGTAAACAACTCAAAAATCCATCAACAGGTGAATAGATAAACCACAGTGTGGTCATACAATGGATTACCATTCAGACAAAAAGAATGAATAACTGCTACATTCAAGTACATGAATGAACTTCAAAAACATACTGAACAGAAGTAGCCAGGCAGAAAAGAGCACATCCTACACTGTTATACCAAGTTTAGAGCAAGAAAAACCAGTTTATGATGATAGTAAACACATCAATGGCTACCAGTTGCTAAGGGTGCTTGAGAAGAGGTGATGGAAACATTCTGTGCCCTGACTGTGATGCTAGCCCCACAACCATATGGATTTGTCAAAACTCATGGCACTGTACATGCAGGGTGAATTTTATTGTATGAGCAATACACCTCACAGCTATACTCCAGTGCAAAATAAAAAGTTTAGAAAAGATCAGACATATAAAAATCATTAATATGTATGTATTGTAAAAAAAATACACCTCAATAAACCTGATTTTAAAAATTGAAACAAGAAAAGAAAAGAAACAAAACATAATTTCCGTGGTTTAGACCCCAAGCTGTGGAACCCCTTCACCTGGCTCTGGTCCCTGCTACGCCATCTACATGATATGTGACCTTGAGCAGGTCACTTTACTTTCTTGTGCATCAGATGTCTCCTTTGCAAAATAGGAATAATAAGACTATATTATACTACTCAGCCATAAAAAAGAATGAAATAACGCCATTTGCAACACCTTGGATGCAACTAGACTGCAATTTGGATTGCAACTAGAGATTATCATACTAAATGAACTAAGTTAGAAAGAATACCAAATGATATCACTTATATGTGGAATCTAAAATATGACATAAATGAACCTATCTATGAAGCAAAAAGAGAATCACAAACATAGAGAATAGATTGGTGGTTGCCAAGGGGGAGGGGTTTGGAGGAGGGATGGTGTGGGAGGTTAGGATTAGCAGATGTAAACTATTATATATAGGATGGCTAATATAGGATAACAAGGTCTTACTGTGTAGTACAGAGAACTATATGCAATATCCTGTGAGAAACCACAAATGGAAAAGAATATTTTAAAAAGGAATCTCTATGTATGTGTGTATGTAAGTACATGTGTCTGTCTGTCTGTCTGTCTGTATGTGTGTGTGTATGTCTGTCTGTCTGTATATATGTATGTATTATGTCTGTCTGTATGTATGTATATCTGTCTGTCTGTCTGTATGTATGTATGTATGTATGTAAAGCTGAATCACTTTGTTGTACAGCAGTAATTAACACTGTAAATCAACTATACTTCATTTTGAAAAATAAATAATTTTTAAAATTTAAAAAAAAGTTAATGGTCTTTCAATAAATGAAAAAAAAAGTACCTATCTCCGAGTGTCATTTTAAGGACTGAACAAATGGTTAGCATAGTGACTAACACATAGTAGGGACTCAGGAAATATTAGCTAAATTTGTATGTAAATATATATATATATTCCAACTTCCCCAGAATGTACAATGTAGATAAATTATTACAGAAAAATTCCTAGAAGAAAGTACACTAATATATCAAGTGGTTATTTCAGAGTGGTGAAATTGTGGGTGATTCAAAAATTCTTGTTAAAGATTGTACAGTAAATATGCATATATTTTCTAATCACAATGGAGGTTGTAAAAAAAGATAAAAGCTTTGGGCTGATGTAGGTCCAAGGAAACTGAAAAACTACAGATTGTATGCAAGGGATGCTTTGACACCAGTAGACATCCAGGGGGCTTCAAGTGGCATAAGTTATGCTACTCCTTGCAATGGAGCCCTGGGAAGCCAGCAAAGAGAACGAAGACGAAAAGTCTCAGTGTAGGGAAATGCAGCTGACTTCTGTGTGTTGACTGTGTGTCCTGCTACTTTGCTGCATTCATTCATTAAACTTCTAACAATAGGGTGAGGGGAACTTTGGGCTCCCCCGGTGGCTCAGCCTTAAAGAATCTGCCTGCAATGCGGGAGACACAGGAGATTCGGGTTCGATCCCTGGGTTGGGAAGATACCCTGGAGGAGGGCATGGCAAACCACTCCAGTATTCTTGCCTGGAGAATCCCATGGGCAGAGAAGCCTGGTGGGCTATGGTCCACTGGGGTCACAAAGAGTTGGACACGACTGAAGCGACTTAGCACACATGCACGGGGAAATTTTTAGGGAATCCTACATATAATATCATTTCATACATATATGATATAATTCACATATATATATGTATTTCTTGAAATGACCAAAAAAGTTTTAAAGACAATATAAACTTCAGTTTTTTTCCTGAGCGATTTATGAATAAGTTGCCAGTATATTGCCTCTTTACCTCCAAATACTTTATTCTGGATTTTGTGCAAATAAGAACATTCTCCACTATATACATGGTAAGACAGAGATGAAGCCAGGAAATTAACACAGATGAATCATTACCATCTACTGCTCAGAACCGAACCACTTTTGTGGTTGTGCCAATAAAATGCCTTACTTTTCACCCTATTTTTTGAAATTTTGCCGTATTGGCATATTATCTACAAACATTTTTAAATGTTCAATAACGACATGAAAACACATACATAAAATAAAAACTAAATGACTTAACAATGAGCTCTGTAGTCCCAGTGGATGCCAGACTGGTCTCCGCAGAGGACTCCTTATTCCACTGTCGCCCAGAAACACACTCAGAAGAGGGGCGAGGCCTGGCGATCGGCAGCTGCAGTTGGTTTGCAAAGTGCAGGAGAAGTTCGGGTCATGAAAGGGCTCGAACTGGCTCCCGGGCTTGGTGGTCCCACAGGATTTTGCACCCTTCTTCAAGGTGCGTGCGTGCTAAGTCGCTTCAGTCGTGTCCGACTCTTTGCGACCCTATGGACTGTAGCCCTCCAGGCTCCTCTGTCTATGAGATTCTCCAGGTAAGAATACTGGAGTGGGTGGCCATTCCCTTCTCCAGTGGATCTTCCCCGACCCAAGATTGCGATGTAGGCAGCGGCCAGGAGGGGGCAGCATGTCACTGGCTTCGCAAGGTTCTGGGCTGCGAAACATCCAGTCAGGGGAGCGGCTCTGGATTTTCCAATTTTTGGTGTGCTGTGCACGCTCCCTCCAACCTCTCTCCATCAACTGCTTGAGACCCTCCGCCGCTGCGAGCACCTCAGAGAGGGTGCGGGAGTTGGCGGGGGGCGGGGGGCGCTCCCGTGGTATGGACTCCTCTCCCCACAGTGGCCAGAAAATCCCCACCTGGCACTTGGGGCTGACTTGGCTTCTGAGTGTACCCCACCCCCCGTTCCCCCTCCAAGATCCCTGGGGTAAGGGGCAGTTGCAGGGCCATCAGGCGAGCCGAGGAGGAAGTGTGAGAACAGCTCCCTAGACGGCAGCAGGGACACAGGAGCCGGCACTTCCCGTTCCAGGCCCCGCCAGTGCGCGTCCGCCTCCGGGCGCGAACTGGCGGAGATTGTCCCATCTTGGGGGCGGAGAAGTAGGCCGGCAGCGCCTGCATCCCTTCCAAGCCTGAACCCGCCCCAGCGGCGGGCTGGAAAGCCTGGGGAGCCAGGAAGCGGGGACAACTGCACAGAGGGGCCGAGATTCACACATCATCTCCGCGAGACCGGGGTCTACAAGGGACCAGTTTGCAGGCGAACCAACTGGGGGGNCCCCGGTTCGATTCCTGGGTCGGGAAGATCCGCTGGAGAAGGGATAGGCTATCCACTCCAGTATTCTTGGGCTTCCCTTGTGGCTCAGCTGGTAAAGAATCGCCCGCAATGCGGGAGACCTGGGTTCGATCCCTGGGTTGGGAAGATCCCATGAAGAAGGGAAATGCTCCCCACTAGTATTCTGGCCTGGAGAATTCCATGGACTGTATAGAGTGCATGGTGTCGCGAAGAGTCGGACACGACTGAGCGACTTTCACTTCCCCTCTCTGAACCTGCTACTCTCGTCTATATGAAGGAGACACTGATACAAGTGAAGGAGACACTGATATAAGGGAGGCGCACAGACGAGCGACTGAAGACTTTATTCCATCCAAGACCCCTGCGCCGGGTCTCCGCCCGCCCTCCTGGGAAGGCTCAGAAGATCTTCACCAACTCCAGCTGCAGGTCCCCGCCCACCTCCAACGCGCGCACGCGCCCTGGCGGAATCCGGTACCGGAAGTGGTGGTATTCAGAGTCTGCGATCACCGCCTGCAGGGGCAAGGGATCAGGGCTTAAGGTTCCCCAGGCAACTGCGGCGTTATTCCCGGCTGGTCCCACGCGGCGTGACCTGGGCACGCACGCAAGCCCGCATTGAGGAAGAAGTCATTGAAGTTCATTGAAACTCCTTGTCATGAGGATTAAATGAGTTCATTGTTGACACCTGAGTGCTTTTTAAGCTTTGGCAGTGGATACAGTTGCCAGGATTCCTGGATCCATCGCCTTCCTCGGATGCACAGAAAATGAAGAACAGGGCGGGTAGTGGAGGGTCTTCAGTGACCACTCCCGGCTGGGACTTATTCTGGGTCCTGTCTTCCAAATCGTCCATTCCCCTGTGCCAGAACTGCTATCTCGGACGCCAGTGGATAGGGAACAAGATAGAGGATGTCCACATCTCCCAGCTGGACATCCACCCTTTGACCATTTGGCTCTCATGGTCTCGTCCTTGCTACCTACACATGCCTGCCCTCTGACAGTAGTGCGCTTGCGCCAGGGGAGGTGAGGAACTGGGGAGGCCCTGCCCACCTTGGCCACGCCTTTGCCCTCAACCTCTGCCAAGGGCCTTCCTGGCCTTGCCGAGGGAAGAGATGTGGGTGTCAGAGCCCGCCCCTGTGGAAGAGACGCACCTTGAAGCCGTCTTCAGTGGCGATGAGGAGCACGTCGAAGGGCTGCCCGCGCTGGAAGGGAATGCCTGAGCCCCGCTCCTCTGCGCCCCAGGTGCCGCGCTCCAGGGAGTTGAAGACCACCGTGGACTCGTCGAGGCGGGGGTTGAAATGCAGGGCGGCATCACTGCCCGGTTCCTCACTGCACAGCAGGTTCACATAGAACCTGGCAGGTGGTAGAGAAGAAGAACATTGGATAGAGGAGTTACCCTTTGCACATCCATATCTACAGGAACCTGAGAGCCACACACCAAGGAAAGAGGGGTGGTGGACTGGAGGCCATGGGGCCCAGATTGCAGGGCACCCAAAAACCAGTGGGAGACCTGAACACACATTCACCTAGACCATGGTCACTGTGCTGTGGCCTGGGTCCCCCTCATTTCCAGAGTCTGGGAGATGCCAAGGACTCATGGTCCTGAAGACCAGGGTGCTCCCAGTTCTCAGAGGGCTGGGACAATACCAGGGACCCCAAAATTCCCAGGCACTGTAGATTCTCAGAAATCCTGAAGATCCCTACCCAGGAAGCCCTAGGATTGCTTGCCTAGGCCTCCTACATGCCCAGGGCACCTCTGAATCACAGGTTATATTTCCAGAGTGGCTGTGGACTTGGACTGGAAGTCATATGATTGCCCTGGAGCCCCCAGATTCTTAGATGTAGGGACCCCACCCGCACAGTCATGGGACAGATAAGTGAAGACATCAGATTCCAGAAGGGCAGAAATAGCCTGGGGATTCCAAGATCCTGGAGGGCAAAGTTGGCCTGGGGCTTTGTTCTCTGGGCTGTAAAAGTGGGGTTCACTAAGCCTGGAAACCTCCCACCCATTAGCGCTGAGGCTCGGGGGTCTCACCTGCCAGCCTTGTCGGGGACTAAACCACGAATTCTCAGCACGGTGCCCACTCGGATGCCCTCGGGCAGCGAGGTCCTGTGGGGGACGTTCTGCAGCAGCCAGAGTGGATCAGGGAGGCAGAGGAGAGAGACAAGTGGGTCAGCTGTGGGGAGAACATGACCAGGACCCAGAGCAGCAGAATCAGAGAGAAGGGGCCCAGAGACATGGAAAAGAGAGCCAGGGGCAGAGAGGAACACAGAGAGCCAACAGGAAGACATTCAGAGGGATGGGAAGATAGAAAGGAAGGGGACACCAATGGGGGAGGGCTGAGAGCATGGGATGGGTTGGATGAACCCAGAAACCACAGCCAGAACATCCCAGCACCCCGGAACACCCACTTTCTCCTTGAAACAGGAGCCCTCAGCCAAGCCCCAGCCCCTCCCCTCTGCCAGCACGGCCTTGGGTCCAAACCCCCCCAACCCGCACACCCCTGAGCACTCACGAAGCTCCCGGCCATGGCTGGAACAGCGGGACGGCAGTGGCGGTGGTGGGTATGGCTGCTGGGACCTTAAGTAAAGCAGGGTGTGCCTGGCCCTGGTGACTCACCCTTTCCACACCCACCACCCACAGCTGGCACAGACCCTGGCCCTGAGGCCATGCTGGCCCAGCACCCTCTCTCTAGGGCCTCTGATGCCCCTGCCATCCTGAGGATTCCCAGGTGTATGGTCCCTCCCCTTTGAGCTAATAGTGATAGGAACAGTTAACAATAATCATCATAACAGCACAGCACACAGCATGGAAGGCTCATTGAGACACCATCCCTCCAGCCCTGCCTTCCTGCTGCCTGGTGGAGACAGAAGACTCTCCCATCCATTTCATCTTGGAAAATCTGAGTCCTGAGAGGTGAAGGTGTGAGCTGAAACTCTGCAGCCTCTCTTCCAGGTTAGGACCTGCTGCCTCGGGCTAAGGATGGGTCTCCCCTGAAATTCCAGTTGATGCTTCTCTAATGTAATAATAACCATGGCAACAAGGATAATGATAGGAAAGGCAGCTACGAGGGACAGGATATTCTGCCCAGTGGTCAAAGCTGTATCCTTGGTGCCTAGTGCAGTGCCCGGCACAGAGTGAGTGCTCAGTAAATGTGGAGAAAGAAAGAAGAAAAGATAACGAGAAGTGCCACTGACAAAGCCTCGGGCTTGTCTGCATGTGGGAGTGACCACTGATCTCTGACAGGCCACTGAGCGTAGGGCCACTGATCACCCTTATCTGACAGATAAGGAAACTGAGGCTCAGAAAGGAGAAGCAGTTTGCCCAAGAAACACAGCTAAGCAGAACCACGTGGACCGTGTGTCTGGCTTTCTTCATCTCTGGAAGTTCCTTTCTGGTTTATTCTATCTCCAGGATGCTCTAGTGGCTCTGGCTGTCCTGTGTCTCTGTCCTCCCCTGTTCCTGTCCTCACATGTTCCTGTCTATTTCTCTTCTTTGAGTCTCTCTCCTTCTACCTCCCAGAATCGCCTCCTCTCTCCCACCTGGTGTTCAGGATAAAGGAAGGGAGTTGAGGGGTGGAGGGGAAGGGTGTCTTGGGACCCACCCCCAGCCCAGTCCAAGGACGAGAAAAATGTGGGCCCCTCTGCCCAGGCCAAGTCTGCATAGCCCAAGGCTCCTGAAGGGGCATGCAGGTATGAAGGGTGGTGTGAGAGGGAGAATGTTGATAGAGGGTTCTGGAAGGCAGGGAACAGGGCAGTGGGGAGCTGAGCAGAAACTCCTCCTAGAAGCCCCGGCAGCCTACCACTCTATTTCCATCTCCCCACCCCACCCACCCCTGTTGGCGCCCTACCCAGCAGAGGGAGAAAAGGCCTGGGACTGAGTCAGGAATGGAGACTTTGGGTGGAGACATGCAGAGTCAGAACCTGATCCACCACCCTCAGCCTCCCAGCCTCCAGCCCCATCACTGCACACAGTTGGAGCAGCAGGTGCGGGCCAGCGTCTCAGAGAGCAAGGGTGGGAAACTGCATTTGGGTGGGGGCTACAGTCACCTCCATTTGGCAGAAGAGAAAGTGGGCTTAGAGAGGGCCAGCCTCTCCCCAAGGCCTCATGGGGAGGACGGGGCCAGGGACTGGAGCTGGTCTGTGTGCCAAGGACACCCACCTCATGGAGATTTTAAATAGAGAGGACAAGGACTTCCCTGGTTGGTCCAATGGCTAAGACTCAGCACTTCCAGTGCAGAGGGCCTGAGTTCGACCCCTGGTCAGTGAACTAAGATCCCAGACGTTGCAGCAGTGACAAATCAGATCACCCAGGTTTCAACATGAGTCTTGACAATATACAGGCCTGGGCAACCACCACCCCAATCAAGGTTTATCTCCTGAAAAAGTCTGCCCCCTACCACCTGCCCCAGGACACACTGTCATTGCTTAGTATTGAGCCAACACATTCATTTGCCATGAAAATAAAAAGAAGAATGCCTAGCAGGTTGTGTGTGTCTCTCCTACCTTCCAGAATCATCTCCTGCAGAAATAACTGGGGGAGGGCTTCCCTGGTGATCCAGTAGTTAAGAATCTGCCTTGCAATGCAAGGGACACTGGTTTGATGCCTGGTCCCAGAAGAGCCTCCATGCCGAGGAGCCGCTAATCCAGGGGCCACAACTACTGAGCCCACGCTCTAGAGCCTTCACGCTGCAACTACTGAAGCCTGTGTGCCTAGAACCCGTCCTCCGTAACAGAGAAGCTACCGCAAAGGGAAGCTGGCCACCACAGCTAGTGAGGAGCCCCCACTCTCTGCAAATAGAGAAAGCTTGGGTGCAGCAACAAAGACCCACCACAGCCGAAAAATAAAATACATAAAGAAAAAAGAAACAACTGGGGCGATGTGTGCTCCAACTACTAAGTGCTCTAGACCCCACACTTCGCAATAAGAGAAGCCCATGCAGCGCAGCTAGGGAAGGCCAGCATGCGGCAATGAAGACCCAGATCAGAAACAATAACAAGAAACAACTGGGGCAAGAAGTAATACTAAGGGCCCCCACAGTGGCTCCAGGAATTGAGAATCCCAGGCTCTGTCAATGTCAGCTCCTTGGTGACTCTGGGTTGGTTTTCATATTCAGTGAAGATGTCCCAGGAGCTGCTTTGGTTTTGTAAATTACCTTTCCAGTGAGGAAAATGACGTTTTAAAAATCTGATTTTTTTCTTTTTTCGTTAACTTTTTTTTTTTTTTTTTTGGCTTTGACTCACTGAGCTTGCAGGATCTTATTCCTGGACTGGGAATTGCCCTGGGCCCTCGACAGTGAAAGCTCTTGAGTCCTAACCACTGGACCAAGAGGGAATGCCCCCAAATTGGACTCTTCTTTTTAATTTATTTTTTAAAATTTGTGTATTTACTTGCCTGAGTCAGGTATTAGTTGCAGCTTAGTTGCCCTGCTGCATGTGGAATCCTAGTTCCCTAACCAGGGATCGATCCCACGTCCCCTGCACTGGAAAGCGGGTTCTCAACCACTGGTCCACCAGGGAAGTGCCCCATTCTAACCATTTTTTAAATGTACAGTTCAGTGGCCTTAAGTACATTCCCATGTTGTGCAACCCTTACCACCAACATCTCCAGCACTTTTTCACCTTCCCCAACTGAAACCTATACCCACTAAACACTCACTTTCTCTTCCCCTATCCCCAGCCCCTGACCACCATCATTCTACTTCCTGTCTCTGTGAATCTGGCTGCTCTGGGTACCTTGTGTAAGTGGAGTCATACTTGCCCTCTGTGATTGATGAGCATTCAGGTCAGTTCAGTTCAGACGCTCAGTCGTGTCCGACTCTTTGCTACCCCATGAATCGCAGCACACCAGGCCTCCCTGTCCATCACAAACTCCCGGAGTTCACTCAAACTCATGCCCATCGAGTCGGTGATGAGCATTATATACACATAAAAGAGAAAGTCAGTTGTAAATACCTGTGTGTGTTGAAAAGTGACAAATATGTCACCCAAAATATGCCCTTTGGTATAAGGGTTATTTTGAGCTTTCAGCACTCGAAAAACAGCAAATACAGGAAGGACATTCTAATCTCCACTTTTCTCCTGAAAACAGGGGTTAAAAACTGCCAAGTGAAAGATGCTCTACTTGTACCCTAAGAAAGTAAAAATTTTATCAGCCAGGTGAGACCTAGGGAGGCCTTGTTAAAATAATTCCTGTCTGGGACTTCCCTGGCAATCCACTGGTTAAGACTCCGCACTCCCACTTCAAGGGAATGAAGATCATACATGGCCATTGCAGTAAAAAAAAAAAAAAAGGTTCATATCTTCCTTTAGGCTCCCCACATATTAGGTTAGTTACTTTTCCACAATTCCTTTCATTTTTCTAAACTTGTAGGCGTAGGTGCTTCTTTGTATTTGCTTCCTTATGAGGGCTCCAGGATCATGTAAAACATTTAAATGTGTATTCATTTCTCCTGTTAATCTGTTGATTTGGTATGTCAGTTTAATTCTCAGGCCTTGCTGAAAGAAAAAAAAAAAGGAAGATAAAGGTAAAAATTTGCGTACCCTGCCATATGTAGACATACACTTGTCTTCCTGTATTCCCACCAGGTCCCCCCAGAGGGCCTGGGAGCAGAGACATCTGAATGCGGTGAGCACACTTGCCCTCAGGCTTCCGTGGTGGTTCCAATGGTAAAGAATCTGCCTGCAATGCAGGAGATCTGAGTGTGATCCCCGGGTAAGGAAGATTCCCTGGAGAAGGGAGTGGCTACCCACCCCAGTATTCTTGCTGGAGCATCCCACGGACAGAGGAGCCTGGCAGGCTACAGTCCATGGGGTCACAAAGAGTCAGACACGACTGAGCAACGAACACTTTCACTTTTCACACACTGGCACCCAGATCTTGGTTCCTAAGGACCATATCTTTCTCTACTGAAGGAACTACTGTAGAAATGACCATTTCCAAGGCTCAGACAGGGAGCATGCAAGATGTGCTGAGAACAACTGATTGTGTCAGAGAAGAAGGAAGCGCTTACAAAAGGATGGGGCATCTGGGGCAGGTGTACGAACTCACTTGAATCACGTGAAGGGCTCCCACAGACTGAATCTGGGACCATGAGATTCCTGAGTGAAAACCTGTGACTAGACTAGGAAGCCATGAGCCCATACTGATGTTGTCTTATTCTGTTAGGGCTGCTATGACAAAGAATACCATCACCCCGGTGGCTTACAAACAGCAGAAATTTATTTCTCGTGGTTCTGATGGCTGAGAAGTCCAAGACCAAGGTGCCATTATCATTACTGAGAGTCTGATTCCTGGTTCTCACCGGCCCCCGGTGACTAGAGGGTCAAGGCACTCTCTAGGTCCCTTTATTTATTTTTGGCTGTGCTGGGTCTTCGTTGCTACACACAGGTTTTCTCTACTTGCGTTGGGCGGGGGCTGCTCTCTAGATGCGGTGTGCGGGCTTCTCACGGCCGTGGCTTCTTTTTTTGTGGCGCCAGGCTCTATGTGCCCAGGCTTCAGTCACTGCAGCTCGAGAGCTTAGTCGCTCCTCAGCATGTGGGATCTTCCCAGACCAGGGATTGACCCCGGGTCCACTGCATTGGCAGGTAGATTTTTTTTTTTTTTTAAGATTTATATTTATTTGGCT